GTTCATCTCTGATACGCTCCCTTTTTTAGGCTTTATGAAAGTCACAAACGGGCAGAAAGAACTTACCTTGAGCATGATGAGGGAGTCCATGGGTGGCATGGCCTTGGCAGAGAAGTGTGAGATGAGATTGTTGGATAGATCAAGGAGCTCGATGGAGCGGAGGGGCTGGAGGCCAGCTTTTTCCATACCACCGAGCTGGTTGTGGCTGAGGTTGAGCATGAGAATTCTCGGCGTGGCCGTAAAAGCGTCACTTGCGATGTCACTCAGCAAGTTCTCCTGGAGCTCCAGTGTTTCCAGCTCTGGGAGGTTCGTCAGCGCCGCCGAAGGCAAGCTCCTCAGTTTGTTCCTAACCAAAGAAACAGGACAAAATATCAACAATGTACTGTTCGAAATAGCGTCTAAATAGAGGAGTGAGGTTGATCCAGGAATGGCTCAAACAGGATGTCTCAAATTTTGTTTTTGTATCCTCTCTCGAATGATGTATCCTAAAAACGGGGTTAATTCCGGACGCCCACATTTGAACGTACTTAGTAACTGGGCCACATTTGAACATTGAATTCCCAGAGTTCCACGAGAGTGTCGCTTTTTACACAGCAATTTCTTTTGTATAGGTACTCTCACAAAGCTAAAAGAATCTGAGGAGATGTTTTTAAAAAAGTTGAGTTGAGATACGTGATTTCCTAGGGGAGACCGTGACACCGAGTCTCATCGACACTAGCGATCCATCGGTCGTAAGCAGAAACCGCGATATTCTCGCGTTATGCGTTATTCTCTACCAGTGTGTTCTTTGTATGTAAAATAAACCTATCGCAATTTTGATGGAGAGAGGCCAGATTTACGAGTATGAATGGAGGTAGGTGCGGAAGTTAGTGCAGAGGATGGAGGGAGATTTAAGGGGAGCTGGGGGCGAGTTTTTCTTTTGAGAGAAGAAAATTAGGTAATCTTTTAAAAATTTGGGCATTTTTCTTTTTACCGACCTCTAATGAGTGCGAGTGAATTCTCCTTTTTATGTTCAAAGCAACGTAACCTTAGGGTTATTAAAACATTTCAATGTCTCATCTCATCTCATTTTCTCGCGATTTTGAGACTTCTACCGGGGAATTGAGTCTCAATACCATTGCGAAGAGTCATTGAATTTCTATTCTCCTCTGCACCATTACTCACCTCAACGACAGGGTGTCCCAGACCTCCCGCACCAGGCCTTTTTCTCGTTTGATTTAGCTTGCAAGGAGTCGAAGACCGCGGAGCTGAACAGAGAATCGACTCCAAGGTATTTGAATTTCATGGCCCCGAATCCCCTCGAACCCTCCAGGGGGGGTATGGTGGAGGGGGGGGGGTCACGATCCTATGAGTTGGGGCTCCGGATAGAATTGCAATTCGATTGCATTAACATTGTAAAGTACGGAAAATTTCACGTAAAATTTAAGTACCCCTTAAAATCCCGAAATTCTCCCGAAAGAGATGGGTTCCCAGGTACTCGACCTCGAGGAATCCGGTTTTCATAGTTCCGAAGCCGCCCTAGCGCCCCTTGGGAAATAAACGGGGGGGAGAGCACCATTTCAAAAGTCGGAGCTCCCTTCCGAATCGTAAATTGATGGCATCCAAATTGAAGAGTGTAACGAATTTGAACTTTTATTGGCACCTGGGAGTTTAGATTTATACCCACTCAACGCCCAAAAGTTGTCTCTAAAGAGGTGGGCGGTGCCCCTCCACAAATTGCTCATTTGTTGCAAAACTGATGTAGATTCTCAACAAAAAAAATTATAAATAAATAAATAAAATGATATGCTAGTGAACTGACATCAAGGAATTGGAATTCTATGGTCTTGGAGCTCCTCTGACATCTTGGAAATCTGAGAGGGGAAGGGCGATACCAATCGAAGGATAGACGCGAAAAACGGTCCAAGCCCGTCATTTTTGCGACCAATGAGCAATTTGTGGAGGGGGCACCGCTCCCTCTTAAAGGGTGATACTTTTGAGCGTTAATTGGGTCAATCTGAAGTCCCAGACGCCAATCAAAGTTCAAATTCGTTGCACTTTTCAATTTGGATGCCATCAGTTTACGATTCGGAAGGGAGCTCCGACTTTTTAAATTGTGCCTCCCCCCCCCCCCTATCTCCCAAGGGGTGCTTGAGAGGCTTCGGAACTATGAAAACCGGATTCCTCGAAGTCGATTACCTGGGGAACCATCTTTTTCAGGAGAATCTACGTCAATTTTGCGACCAAAAGAAAATTATGGAGGGGTCCACTGTCCACCTCTTTAAGGAATCATTTTGGGGCCTAGAAAGGACCAATTTTTAATTTTAAGGGGTGAATATCATGTGGAATTTTCCGTACTTTTCGATTTTATTGCAATCGAATCGCAATTCTATCCGGAACCCCGACTAATAGGATCGTGGCCTCTCCCGTCTTCCCTCCACCAGGAGGGTTCGAGGGGTTTTCGGACCATGAAATTCAGATTCCTTGGAGTCGATTCACTAGTCAGCTCCGCGGTCTTCGACTCCTTGCGAGCTAAATCAATCGAGAAAAAGGCCTGGTACGGGTGGTCTAGGACACTCTGTATACCGTTTACTAAAAATAATTTATGATTTTGGGCTATTTTATATTATACTTTCTTTGGTTTGATTAACGCTGTGTTTAAAATGAATAGGCCATATTCACATGCGTGAACAACATTCATTCTGAAGTCAATCTTTTTTTTTTACCTGCAAGCTGTTGTGAGGCAATAAAAAGTGTTCAGAATTGATGCGTTTTTTTAAAAGTTGTTTCAACTCTAAAGCCTAAGTTCTTAGGTTGAGACACAGCACCCCGGTACTGGGGCACTAGGTAAGTCTCAAAATTTGAATAATTTGTAAAAATTCCCTATTGATGATAACTATATTACCTAACAGAACTTTCAGAGGTTTTAGGTCTCAACCAGGAGTAATTACCTGAAAACAAACTTCCTAAACCTCTTTAAAAACAATTTAAAAATTAAATGAAAAAAGTGAGACTCGTTGCCCCAGTCTCCCCTACATACGAACGGAAGAAGTACCTATGAAAAAGAGTTTGACAGCTGTGAGTTTGCCAGTGAGGAGTAAAGTACCTGGCAAGGGAGACTGCTCTGAGGCGGGGGAGTGATCGAATGGCGTGTGGTGAGAGGAACTCCAACTCGTTGCTCTCCAGGTCCAAAATGGTGAGGTTTGGTAGGTCGCGGAAAGAGTTTTCTTTGATGTTGCGAAGTTTATTACGTGCCAGGTGAAGCTGAGCTAGGCTAGTGACGTTTACTAAGTCAGTGGGAGACATCCGCTGAAGTCGGTTGTGGCTCAGGTCCAATGTCCGTAGACTCGGCAAAACATACAACGACTCCGGAAACGAAGAAAGAGCGTTGTTCGCCACGTAAAGCTCCTCGATCTCCCTGGAAAGTATCAGTAAGGTGGACGATTACAAAATGTTGTAGGTTTAGGTTGGCTGTATGTTAACCCTTAGCTATCACACCTGGATGTGACCCTTCTTACGGCTCTCGAGCACCCAGTCTGTCATGGCGTCCAGCCGCTTGTTTTGTGCGTTTTTCGGTTTCAGAATAAAAGTCAAAATTCTATCTGCACTCGTTATTCAGTTTCTCGTTACTTTCACAGGTTACGGGCCTGTGTCATTTCCTATCACACGTCAATTCCTGAGAAATTAATTCACTTGTAACGTAATCGTGAAAGTTGTATAGCGTGGGGTGTGTTTACCTAAAAATGGCGGCTTGCGGACACTTGAGTGAGGTCGGCAGGTGGGCCACGGGCAGACTGGAGCTCGAGGTGCTGGTCTACTACGATCATTTTTGGCAGTCTGATTGGACCACTAGCCTAGGACCGGGCATCGCATCGGTCAATGCCCGGTACCAGACCACTAGATCAAGATCCTTTGTCGACGGATGAAGAAACTAAACCTCAATGGTGTCTCTACACAGGCATGGGTAAGGACGCTCGCAGTGCGGCTCCACCGCGGCAGGAGATTCCCGGTTTCCGTCTCTCCAGAGAACATCCGCGACGTAAACCACATAAATTTATATCGTCTTTTGGCGTGCCATTGGCCCGTGCCATCCCCGCAACTCCCCTGATTTCCACTTCCGGGAAGTTCTCGTGAGCGCACAGCCGAATCCGCCGGCCAAGCGGTCCTTCCCTTGAGAGTCTGCATGCGTTGTCGTTGAGACCGGATCCAGCCTCTCTCTAGAGAGAGTGTTGCTGCAGAGAGTCTGTGCTACGTTCTCGCTTAGCAGGTGAACTCGATGGAGAGACACCGATGTCGGTCTCACGTTAAGGGTAGACTCTCTCCAGAGTGTGCGTACCCAGTCACTCTGTAGAGAGATCTCTCCGCAGGAGTTCGCCCGTTTACCCGACTCAAGGGTGTGTCCTATTTTTGGTTTTTTCGAAATCCGAAAAGTGTTACCTCTAAAAAATTTTTCTCTGGTGTAAAAATAAACATAGGTACTTTTTGAAAAATTCAAAATTTTTAATTTTAACCCATTTCTCACGGGGCAAAAAGGTCCTAAGTGCAAAGTTTGAATTTATGCAACTTTAAGGTGTCATTCCGGAGTAGAAACTTAAAATTACGATTCATTCGGCGAAAATTTTGTCCGTTTTGCCGTATCACGCATTTTAAAGGCAAAAATAGCCTCTGAAAAATATTTACTGCACCGCGCGCGCAGTGCCGCACTATATGGTCCACAGACCGTATTTAAGGTAACTTTACTCAAATTTCGAAGGTGTAAAAAATCAAAGTTTGGCACCGTAGTTTATCATACATATTCTCAGGGATTGTCACCTGAGTGACTAATAATGATTTATAAGACTGCACGGAAAAAAAATATTTGCTAAAATGCCAAAAAATGGCTTGCGATTTTTGCAATTCGCTTTTTTTGCTAAAATGCCCACTCTCCTGTCGAGAATGGCAAAACAATTTGCAAAAATAGTTATTTTATTGTGCGAAAATAGCAAACTAAAATTTTGCGACAATAACATTACTAGTTTATGCTGTTATAGCTAAAATTTTTGCTAGATTTGCAAATTTTTTTGCCGAATTGGCGTATGGTTTTGCCTTTTTTACTAATTATTTTGCGAAACTCACTCAAATCAATCGCTACTTTAGCAATCTCAAGATTGCGATTTTCACCACCTCACAAATTGCTGTTTTTACAAGATATGTGTATGTACAGGGTGGCGCAGACCTACCGTACCAGGCATTTTTTTCGGTTAATTTGGGCCGCACGAAGTCCTGGATTGCAAGGATGAATAAGAAATCGACCCCAAGGAATCCGAACCTCATGGTCCCAGAGCCCCCCTGGCGTTCCTAGGGGAATAAAAGGGGGGTCCGTACTTCAAAAGTCAGGGTTTTTGTCAAAATTTTGAAATTATGTCATCAAAATCAGAACGTACGGAAAATTTTAACATAAATCGACACTGTAAAGTTCCGGCAACTAAAAACTATACAAAGTTGTAAATTTTTTACAGACACCAAGAAATCCAAATTCCGCCCGTCCGTGTCCAAAATACCGACCCCTAAAGGTGAAGGACAGAGCCCCCTTTCAAAAAAATTCAAATTCGTCATATTGACGTTGAGACTCGGAAAAAAATGTGTATTTTTAGGTAATCGACCCCGAGGAATCCAAACTCGAGGGTCCCGTTGTCCTCAGAGACTTTTCTGATAGGGCACAGGGGGAATCAGAACTTTTAAATTTAACCGGTTTGGAGGTTACCCCTGTGCCCCATCAGAAAAGTCTCTGAGGACAACAGGACCCTCAAATTTAGATTCCTCGGGGAAGATTACCTTTGAATACACATTTTTTCCGAGTCTCAACGTCAATATGACGAATTTGAATTCTTTTGAAAGGGGGCTCTGTCCCCCACCTTCAGGGATCGGTATTTTGGACACGGACGGGCGGATTTTGGATATTTTGGTGTCGATTTAACTTAAAATTTTCCTTACATTCTGATTTTGATGAAATAATTTCAAAATTTTGACAAAAACCCTGAATTTTGAAGTACGGACCCCCTTTTTATTCCCCAAGGAACGCCAGGGTGGCTCTGGGACCATGAAGTTCGGATTCCTTGGGGTCGATTTCTTATTCATCCTTGCAATCCTGGACTTCGTACGACCCAAATTAACCGAAGAAAATGCCTGGTACGGTAGGTCTAGTCTGGGCCACCCTGTACAGGGTGATCCAAAAGTCCCTTCCACCCCTTCTAACTTTTTACCTAATTGAGGTAAAGATTTGAAACTTGGGGGATATTCCTAGGTCAAAGGGAGCTACTTTTTGGCCCCCCTAAAATTTTCAGGGGGGCCCCCTTGGAGGGGCAACGGCCCCCAACTTTTAATTTTCAAATGGGAAGACTCCCTTTGTGATAGCTCGTTCGAAAGAGCATTTAAAAAAAAAAAATTTCCGCGCAAACCCGAAGTCAATATCTCAAACCGTCCCAAAATGGCGGCCAGTTAAAGTTCAAAATGGCCAAAAATTCACACCGGTTATTTGTCGATGGATTTGCGCGAAAATCGGTATGTTGGGGTATTTTGACACGAGAAACGGTGTATGTAATGTATCGAAATAATGAATTGTATACATGACAAAAATATGTCATAGCTCGTTTCCCCGGGAAAAAGTCGCTTTTTCGGAAAAGTGAAAGGTGGTAGGAAGAAACGAAGGTCATTTTCCGACTCAGCGGCTGAGAGTACATTGAAATGGTCTAATTTTAGACCTGAGAAAAATTTTACCTACATGCTGCGGGGATCAACAGTCTCAAAAACACCACAAATGCATAGAATACTCCACATTTCGATGAACGGAGGTTCACTCCGAAGAAAATTGATTTCGACCATTAGGTGACAAAAGTTGACATTAAAATCGGCATCACCTTAATCTTAAGGATATGTGGAATAAGATTTTTAATTCTCAATAAGCTTTAGTTAGAAAAAAAAAAATATGAAACTTCCTAAAAATTACAAATTTTACTAATTTCTATCATTTTTCGGCGTAGTTTTCAGCGTTCAAAAGCATACAAATTTCGGTTCAAAATTGATGAAACTGGGTAGGACGTCATATGCCACCAGGTTAATCCATGTTGCCCAACAATTCACGTAGATGAGGCGTAACTTGGTAAAATAAACACCTTGTGACGCACTACCTACCGAATGCGGCTCATAATCAGCTAATGAAGACCCGTTGCGCGCTCTGTTGTTAGGGTCCGTCACACACGCAAAAAAAAAAACATTGCTGTTACACCCAGAAGGGTGGGTAAAATAGAAATGTCATATTGCTAAGAACGGGACTTGCAATGTGGGTGGTAAAACAACATAACAAATTTTTGCTGGAAAAGCAAAATGAAAAAATTCGATTTTCGCAATGTGAAATTGCTAGTACACCCACTTATAAACAATCCGAAAATCGCGCGAATGAAATTGCTGGTTTTTCTATCTCATTTTGCGATTTTCGCAATAGCAAAATACAACTGTAGGCGCGCGCTCTAGGAGACGATTTCGGTACTATTTTCCCTTCGAAAGTGCAGCTGCGTTAGTAAACTAGGGGGTCGATCAAAGAGTTTCTCCTTACCTTAAAATCCGCGCCGTCCTAGTCGGGATTAGAATCCACGCCTCGGGAATTCGGGATGGAGTTGACGTCCGAAGTCCAGCACTTTACCACTAGAACAGCCAGCCTCGATATGAGTGGGCCCCTAAAGTCAATCTCTTAAACTATCGCAGGCCTCTGAGTCCATAATATGCGTGTTTATTGATGGATTCTTATAATATTTGGTACCAATAAAGAACATCAGCCCCAAAAACGTCTCCTAGAGCGCGCGCACACGGTTGTATTTTGCTATTGCGAAAATCGCGAAATGAGATTGCCAACTTAACAATAATTTTTCAAAATCAGCAATTTTACATAATTTGCTAATTCAGCCAAATTAAATTGTACAAATAGCTTTTTTAACTGTTATAATCGCAATAATAACGCTACATTCGCAATATACAGGGTGATCCAAAAGTCCCTTCCACCCCCTCTAACTTTTTACCTAATTAAAGTAAAGATTTGAAACTTGGGGGATATTCCTAGGTCAAGGGGGGCTACTTTTTGGCAGCCCTAAAATTTTCAAGGGGGCCCCCCTTAGGGGGGCAAAGGACCTCAACTTTTAATTTTCAAATGGGAAGACCCCCTTTGTGATAGCTCGTTCGAAAGAACATAGAAAAAGACAACTTTTCGCGCAAACCCGAAGTCAATATCTCAAACCGTTCCAAAATGGCGGCCGGTTAAAGTTCAAAATGGCCGAAAATTCACACCGGTTATTTTTCGATGGATTTGCGCGAAAATCGGTATGTTGGGGTATTTTGACACGAGAAAAACGAATTTGACGTTAGATTTTCAAATAACCGAAATTTCAA